TCATTAAAAAGTCTGCCTCCTGGAGCCGGGTGGGGACATCATGGGGGCTCCCGCTGGGTGGGCGGAGACTCAGAGCGCTGAGGCATCAGGGAAGGAGGCGCCAGCGGGCCCCTTCACGCTGGAGGACTTGGGGTCGTCTCTGTCCAGCTGGACGCAGGGGCCCCCTCGTCCCTTCGCTTTGGTTGACAGTGAGGACACAGAGGCGATACAGAGCCGGCTACGGTCATGGGTCAAACTGACTGACCGGCGGTTCCGCTGGTGTAGTGTTTGGGGCGCCAAAGCCATAATGAAGCTGTGCCTGAGGGACTTCAGAGTTGACATTGTCTTTCTTTTAAAAAATTCATTGATTGATTTTTAGAGAGAGAGGAAGGAGGGAGGGAGGGAGGGAGAGAGAGATGGATTGAGATTGATTTGCTGTTCCACTTACCACCTATGGATGCAGCCATCAGTTGGTTCTGGCATGTGCCCGGACCATCCTTGGCGGGACAACGCTCTAACCCACAGAGCCGCCCAGCCAGGGCCCAAGCTGACATTTTCTTATGCCCTTAACCCCTACAACGCAGTCCTCACCACGTACACCGGAAAAGCCCCTCGTCCCGGGCACCCCCGGCGGTGTGAGCACCGGTGTCCACTGAGCGTTTTGGCCTTTGGCTGGCCGGCCGCCGCCCTCGGCACAGCGGAGCCCGGGTGCTGCTGCTGTTCTCGGTGACCTCCCTCCTCGGCCGCCTCGGTGCACACAGACGGGCCCCTTCAAAGCCAGGCGAGAACGGGGCCCACGGAGCTCACCATGCTGGTGCCCGATGCCCCCGCCCCTCCGAGGGGCAGGTCTCTCCTCCGCTCAGACCCTCAGCCGCGGTGACGGTGACGGTGATGGTGACCCTCGCCCCCTGCCCCCGGGCTCTCTTTCAGGTGCTCAATGTGCTGTCCAGCGACAGCTGCTCCCTGTTCGAAGCCGCCTTGTTCTGCCCCTTGCCGGCCACCATCCCCATCCTCATGGTTGTCTGTGCCGTGTTCTCCTTTTTCACCCTGGGGCCCACGGCGCTCATCGGCATATCCGTCTACATCATCTTCGTCCCTATCCAGGTGACCCTGTCTGCCCGGCCCCGAGGGGCGCCCGCACATGTGCGAGCTTTTCTGGGCACCCTGTCAGGTTTTTGTAAAAAATATATATTTCTATTAATTTCAGAGAGGAAAGGAGAGGGAGAAACAGAAAGAGATAGAGAGAGGACCATTGATTGGCTGCCTCCTGCATGCCCCACACTGGGGATCAAGTCCTTAACTGACCGGGAATCGAACCCTGACCTCCTGGTTCACTGAGCCACGGTGGGTGGGCACAGTCTGGTGGTTTTTCAAACTTGAATTTGAAAGCCCTGGGGAGGGGGCAGGGCACACGTCCCCCATTTGTCAAAGTTGCCGACACCGCCTTTGCATCCTGGTGGCCCGCGTATTTCCATGACCTGCCCTGGCCCTGGCCCTGGTGCCCCCAGACCACGCTGGCTGAGTGAGAACGCCAGGCCAGCTTCCCTTAGGCCCTTGTCCCCGCCCTCCAACTCCAGCCTCAGGGAGTGGGGTGGGGGGTGTTCAGGCCAGCTTTGCCTGCAGGGCGCCCGGAACACAAGGTCGGTACCTCGCCTTCAGGTGTTCATGGCCAAGCTCAACTCGGCTTTCCGAAGGTCAGCGATCTCCATGACGGACAAGCGGGTGCAGATCATGAACGAGTTTGTGACCTGCATCAAGCTGATTAAGATGTACGCCTGGGAGAAACCCTTCACCCAGACCATCCGAGGTAGGCGGGCGCCGCGGGGAGGTGTGGGGGGGGCGGTGGGGACTTGCCCCGGGGCACGGGGTCTCCCCAAGGGCTTCGCAAGGTTCCCGGCGCCAGGCATTCTAGACGGGGCCCTGAGCGGCCCTGCAGGCGCTTCAAAGGGCTCAGGAGCTTTCATCATAGAAACGGCATCTGGCTGGTGAGCCGGGCGCGGCAGGCGAGCACCGTATGGTTAGCCTTTGCCCGGCGTGTGGGCGCTGGCGCTGGCCATTCAGTTCCCTTCCACAGAAAGAACCCACCAACCATGGTGAGCAGAAGAGCGGCCTCGAGCTATTTCCTTGATTTAGATTTCTACACACACACAAAACACACACACACATGCACACACATATGCACCCACACCCACACACCCACCATACTCATACACACACTCATATGCACACACACACTTGCACACACTCTCACCCTCACACACACTAAGCACCCACATGCACACACGCACACCCACAGACTCATACACACACTCATATGCACACTCACACACACACACCTATACACACACTCATGCACTCATGTACACACACACCATCTCTCTCACATACACACGCTTGTACACACACACTGACATGCGCAGTCACACACACTCATAAGCACTCACACGCACACACGCACACCCA